AGGATAAAGATTATTTGTCCTGCAGATAGCGATCCTAAAAATACAGTTGCTTGGTGGGGTGTTATATGAGAAAAAGATTTGTGTTAAAACTCAGCGTTGCACTGTGTGATGCACGGATGTTTTCAGAGTGCTAGTTTTTAATGCTAGAAAACAGGACACTCTCAACCTAAAACTTTAGTTTTAATGTTAACAGTAGAACTGCTTTTTCCATATAATCTTAGTCTGAGAAAACCTCTTTTTCTGTGTTGGTTATGAAGTAAGAAAATCTATGGGCTCCGTGGCACTGCCCTGCTCCTCTGTTGCTGGGTTCTCTGCGTGGGTCTGTAGCTAATGTGGCAACACCTGTCCTATATTTCAAGTGTAGCAGGAGGCCTTTTGAGCAAACTATCATTTAGAAAAGAGCCAGAGATTGCATAGTCCCCTGTGGCTCTGGTAAAATTTAATGGAGTTGGAGACTAATCCCCCCACCATTGCACCAAGGAGCGTGGGGAGCAAATTCCTTACCTCCGAGGAAGAAGTCAAATGTTCTCAGAGGGGGACCTCAGTCAATTTTTCTCTTTCCCTCCCTCTCGGGTAGAGTTTTCTATGGGAATGACTGAGGATTGACCCTATGGAAATTAGAATTTGAGAAGACCTATTATAAAATTGATTTTATTTCCTTGTTGCTGCAAAGTTGTTCCCTATAGCATGTTCTCTCATGATTTATCCAGGAGTTTCAAGCGTTGTAAGTACCAGTGGTTCTGTATTTCCCTGGCCTGTCTCACTGACGGATGGCGGAGAGATGGGGATCGCAAGGTGCAGCAGAGATGAAAAGAGAGATAGCCAAATAAGATAAAGATGAAATTTCTTTTTTTACTGTAGGAGTAAACTGCTTGGGAGGATCAGGAGCCAGATCAGCAGCTGTTGCAGTGTATATTCTGGGCGATAAAGTAGTTTAGATCTAGGCTCTGTTTAACGACAATGAAATTTGCCTCAGACACCAACCCAACAACTTTTAAAGTTATCTCCCTTTAAATCTATTGAAACTCTTTTTCCACTCTTGTAGTATGTTCGCGCAGTATCTAGGAGAAGAGCTTCTTATTCTTCCCCTCTTCCCCTCTGTTCTTTTATTAAGGTCTCCCTCCCTGCAAACCCCTGCCCACACACTCTTCTTGGGAAGCAGGTAACATGGAAAGTGCTGAAGCAACACAAGATACGATGTTCTTGAAGAACCTCTGATCTGCTGAGCAATGTCTTGCGAGATTTACAGCTCCAAAGGATTTACCATAAATAAATAAAACCTTTCAACACCTTACAGCTCCTGGGAAACAAAATCCAAAACATTCTGAGTTGCGCTTATCACCTCTTATTGCCAATGTTACTGGTGAGTTTGCTGCCTGTTTGGCCCCGTCGTGCCGTCCACCCTCCTCTTGCATTCTGTCTCAAGCAGACACAGCAATATCCTGTCTCTTCTGCTACTTGTCCCTCCAATATAGCAGTGCATGGGTAATGTGATGCTTGAGGATAATAACCTGGTATCTCTTCTGCCTTCTACATATGAGATTTTGTATTTGCTACTTTTTTTTTTTTTTCTTTCTATTTGGTATTGACTCTGGAAATTTTTATGCAGAGAGCAAATGCGATTGTAAATTCAACCTCCGTGTTTCTCTTTCCGTGGGGCACCTCTTTTCCTTCATTGCTTTTGCTTTGTTTGTTCAAATTAAATATTTATTACATTTTAAAGAAGAATGAACTTTCAGTACAAGATAATAAAGGATTTATCTGATGATAAAACATGTAAATCTTTCCAGAAACTTTAGGAGGATTTTAATATTAATGCAGATCAAATATGGAAATGTATGCAATTTGCGAATAGTTTTATGGAAACAGGAAGAGCTGTGGAGTCAGTATAGGTGTAATCCTAATTAGGATGAGTTTCTGGTATTGATAAGACAGAAATACAGTATCTCACTTTTTTCTCTTGGTTAAATCTCTTCATTCTTTTCTGAAAGGACAGGAAAGAATGACATGTCTTTTTTAAAAAAAAAAACTGTTGAATAAATCATTAGAGAGGAAAATATAAGGAACAAGTTTGTAGTGACAAGGAAAGAAAATCAGTTGTGTAATAGGTCCTCTCAATTTCTAATTTCCAGAAGGTCAATCACCAGTCTCCCCTGTAGAAAAAAAAAATAAATTCACTATAGATAATTAATATTTTACTATTTTTAATATTTGAATAAGCATGGATATCCCTCCTCCTGTGGCGCCCTCAGGGTAACTCTTCCTTTCTCTTAGTATGAATTTCAGTACAATGAGGGCCTAGTACTCAGTATTCCTAACTTAATTCAACATACTAACTAAAATTAATGCTTAAAGTACTTTATTTTTTAAATCTCCCATTTACTCTTCCCAAAATATCATTGAAATCGTGTAATGTACTTACTCAACAGCAAAACAAAACAGAAATGGTAAGTTTGGAGAAAAATGAGAGGAGAAAATCAAGGGGTAAAATACAGGTGAATTTTTAGCATGGCAAAGTTCTCGGGTATTCTTTCCAATTTTTAGAATTTTTTTTCAAAAACGGATCATGATGGGCTAGTGAAATTTCATAGCTGACGTTATAATTATTAAGGAGAAGCATGGACCGGAGGGGTATTGGGGGTTCTGCTTCATGCCTAAATGGAATATTCCACTTTGGTATTATCTGATCACCACTTTTATCACAGGAGCATCCCAGTTCGATTTGGCACGTGCTCATAGCTTACACCAATCAATTTAACAAAGTTAGATGAGATTGGGGAGATTTGTGGTTGAAAAATTCACAACAAGGTCAAGCACTTACTAAAATAGGATAGGATTTTCGGAATGTCCTCCAGGGTTCCCACGCCCAGAAATACGCTGAGTACTGAGTATTGCAGAAGAAGGGTCACTCTACACAGCCTCTACTTCTCAGAGCTATGTCCCTTTTTGCAGACAGCCTCCCTCAGCAGGAAATCCTCCAAGATCCACAGTCGTGTTTAGGACTGTGGGATAGGCAGTGCACAGCCCAGAAATCCACCTTATTCTTCTAACTCTTTCTTGTAGTACTGTCTCTTCTCATTCTTAACATTAGCATTTTGAAAGAGATTTCAAATTTGCCCAGTATGATGATTTTGCAAGTCTGCATATGAAATTCATTTGTGCTGTGCTCTAAAATAATCTCTGAAAACACCCGCTCCCATTTATTATTCAATGTGCAAGTTTCTTTCACTTACTGTGTTCTAGGACATGCTCTCAGCTAACTAGTGAGAAACCTCTGCAGGATGTTTTGCTCATTAGAGAGGCATTTTGATGTTAAAGAAATATTTTCCTTTTTATTTTAAAACGTCTCATTGGATAAATAGTATACAGATTTTCCTGAGATGTGCATTGAGGGCAGCTGCTTGGAAAATGAAGAACAGAGCCTTCAGATCTCTCAAATTAATGGGAAAGTTCAGTGAAATTTGGATTAGACTCCGAAGATAAAGCAATCTGAAACAGAAACATCATTAAAAGATACTGGTAATGGAATTGTGAGTTTATTTGTCTGAAAAACAGCTTGCGAGGTAATAAGTAATGAATTATTGCTAAGAAGTACATCTGTCTCTAACGGGAAAAATGTCTTGTTGAATGCGTTGTACAACTGTTTTGATGAAATTATTAAAATAAGTACCTTTGAGATAAGAGGATGTACTATAAAGACAAGCAAGCGAACAGAGGGCTAGGGGACTTTTATGCTAATTAAATGATGGACACACAGTGAAGAGACAAATTGTTAATATATGCTAAACACAGAAAATCTAGAAGACCATCTGATTTGTTCTGTCAGAGAGAAAACATGTCTGTTTAATTAAGGGCTGTAATATTGCATGTATGCTTGCAGGCAGAGATAAGGTAGCTAATCTAGCTTTTCCTGAGGTGCACTCTGTCTTTTTAGTGCTTAAATTTCAACCTTAAGATTCCCCTAATGTTGCTGTTTGTACGGGATTGTTTCTCAGTTTCTGGCACGTAACCGATTCCCTGAGAGATAGATGCACCTCCAAATAATGACTGCTTGTCAGAAGGATAGCTTTTCCTACCTGGCTTTAATGCAGACCTTTATTTTACAGACAGGTTTCTCGGAGGCTCATGCTGTCTTATTTTGAATGGATAAAAAAAAAATAGATGTGGGTGGGAAATGCTGTCACGCAGACGTTCCAGGCGAGACTGGGACAACATCTCATTTGAATAACCACCCTACGGAGCCGTCAAGCTGAGCTGAGACATGCCTCAGCCACCTCAGCTCCAAATGGAGCTCTGGGCTGAAGGGTGGGATGCAGGAGCATCCTCAGCCTGTTCGTGCCCTGGCTCCCCTCCCTGCAGTGCCCCTGCCAGAGAGAGTCCTGGCATGGGCAGAGCCTGGTCTCACAGAGGAGCTTAATAGCGCCTTTGCTGTGTTCCACAGAAACGTATGGCTCCAAGCCTACAGGAAAAAATCAGAAGAGGAATTTTGCAGCAGTGACATAAACCTTATTTTTGCATGAAGTAAAATCAATATTTGTTGTCTGAGGGCCTTCCCAGGGTTTGGAAGCCATCCATTGGTTGATTTCACTAAGTTTGGGGTATTTTGCCTTCATTCCCTCACCAGTCTACATTTGTTTTTACGGGGAAGCTGCATTTTCCAGGGTTGTGTTTGTGGACTGCAGTATATGAATTTTGTCCTAATTATTGCCCATATAAAATGTTGGGGTGATGGATATTTGCCCAGTGGAAATTCAAGTGCCATAATTTCAAAGCAAACCTGGCGTGATGTGTACCTCCCTTACAAAGCTCTCACAATTATTTTTTTTCAGTTGAGTGGGTCTCAGTAGGACCAAACCAGCCTCCCACAAGCTTGGCAGTGCTAAACCTGTACTAGTAGTGCCTACTGTTCTGAGAGATATGAATAGTGAAATTGGTGCAAATAGCACCTGGATTCATTTCTCACTTTTATTTTACATGTCCAGGTTTCGAAAAGCACCAATGTCTTGTCGGTTCTTGGTGTGAAGCCACTTGCAGCCAGCGAGTGAACCTCCAGGTAGGTCCCATGGAGGAGCTCATGGTACTGTGCTCAGTGATGGACAAGTCACCACTCTCTTTGTGCTTGAGCTATAGATGTTTTCCCAAACAGATTAGCGCTGATTAGCAACGAATTATCAAGCGTAAAATGAGTTTCTTGGCTTTTAGCCACTGGACACATATAAAGAATGGTTATCTGCAGGAGGAGGAAAATGAGTGTCCATGGATGAGTAAAACGCTTGGACGTATTTGTTGTTGCAGATTATTGCCAGCTCAGAATAAAAGTGATCATTGCCAGTTAAACAAAGCACCTCTCTGTCCATTACAGGAAGTGCATTGTTTTGTAGGAAGAGGAACTCTTAAATTATTGAATTTCTGCGTATCTGTCATTTTTTCTGTCATTCAGAAGCAATCTGCTCTTTAGACGGTGCTGCTTTCCTAAAATGCTGATGTTGATGATGCTGATGAGGTGAGGGAAATCTCAGGTTCCACCTTGAATAGGCTTGAAGACACTGGGTTGTTTTAAAAGAAGATAAAACGTGTTAAGTGCTTAATAGCTATTCAAAGGACAAGTAAGCAGTTGGAGTATCTTCCCTAAAGAGAAACGTTATTGGAAAGGGAGCTGCTTCAGACAGGGGTGAAAAACAGGGAAAGAGGTCCACCTGATTATGAAGAAGAACAGAGTGGTCAGTAAAATGGTTGGTCTATTAGTCTGTGGCCTCTGCCCTGTAAAATAGGAGGGCTCTGCTTTATTTCACTGATGACAGGAGGAGGTTGTGACGCTTCCCTCAGCCAGCAGGAGCATGCAGTCTGCTCAATGCTTCTCCCAGTTTATTTTAGTTATTCTAAGCAGTCTGATGGTAGGTGCAATTTCCCCACAGTTAACAGGAATATTATCACTTTAATTATCTTTAACTACTAGGCATGCTGTGATAGTAGGCATTGAGAGATTCAAATATACAGTAGATCTGGTAAAGACTGTTTGTCTTCAGCTGACTGAAATGCTTGGTTTTTGCACATAAGAGCTAATGTTTGTTACTGGCACTCATCATCTTGGCTATACATGCAAATTAATTTGCCAACAGTCTCATGACTGACATCCGAAAAAAAAAATAAATATAAAAATATAGATGATGTCCTACATTTGCTTACCAAAAGGAGATGTTGACATTTTTGAAAGAAAAAAATGCAAACAAATATTTTTAACTATCTAATGAAACCAGACAAAAAATGAATATGGAACCAATTATGTTTTCTTATGTGATGAACAGAAATGTGGATATTTATATCTTATTTCTGTATCCATGTGTCTAAAAAAAGAGTGCTTGCATGCTGATGGGACAAAGGAGGGGAAAAAGGTGACTATTTGAATATTTGACTTTTTGTTAAAGAATTTTGCTTTTCTTATTGTCTGTTGAAAGGAGATATTATTACAGAAATCTCACTGAATACCTGAAGTTTCTGTGAAAACAGATTTCAAAATAAAATTTCCTAATAGATTGAAGTACAATACTTTATATGATATATTCCTTTATAGCATCCAATCATTTAACAATTTCTTAGCTTCCATTTTTTCCATTCCGTGTTCCCTTTTCTTCCCTTATAGACCCTTGTTATCTAACACATATTTACTCATTTCTGTTTCTTCTCTTTATGAATTCATTTTCCATGACTGCCTCCTTTTCCACTTCCCAAATATTTTCCTCTCTTTTTGGGTTTTTTTTTTGGTTTGAAGCTGCCCAGAAACGTATGTCAGTAATATTAGCTTGCATCTTAAAAACCCAGCCTTCCCTTGTCTTGTTCTTAAAAGCAATGGGATAATGAGAAAAAGATGCATGACTTCAGCTTTTTATTTATTCCTAGGCTCACTGTGAATCCTAAACCATGTGATGCACCTGGGTATTCTGGCTTTACTGGAAGATTCATGGACAGTTATCATACTGGTATGAAGTTTCCAGACAAATACATACATTGCAGGTGTGTAGTGCTGTTTTCACAGTGGGTTCTTGAAGGGTTATAAAGAACATCCATGTTGTGGCGATGCACCAGGATTCAGACATCACTGAGGCATTCAGACATCAATGGTTAGCCCTTGCTTGCCTTTAAGTGAATCCATTCCAAGCAATTTCTCATCTCTCTGTTTCCAGCAATATTAAATACACAGTCATGCACGGATCTCTTGGCGTAGAAGAATGTCTGTGCGTGGAACAGTGTGTTCATTGAAGATTTTTTTTTCACCCTTCAGCCTTGTGTGGATCTTTAACGATCTGCTGTATGCTGCCTTCTTCTCTAATCTTCTGAGAGAGTCAGTAGGCACAAACTGTACTGAGAAAATTATAGTATACCACACTCTGAAACTGTGAGCTTGATTCCAGCCCGTCTGGTGGGACTGCTGCTGAAAGTCAGCATCTAAAGAAGCAGCTCATTTGAATTCTGGGTGTACACGTGAGTTAATATGAATGTGCTCAGAGACTGAAGGCTGATGTATCAAAGACACCGTTCAACACCACCTCAGGAGTGTTCCTAATAGTGCAACCATTTTTTCCTTTCACTTCTGTCAAATTTATCAATGTCTGATGTCATTCTTTCTCAAAGAGAGAACCTATTAATATGTATAAAGTTAAAAAAAAAGTTCATCCCTATGCATTAACATTTACTCATGGCAATTATGTCTGAGCTTATTAAATTCACGTACTCCCCCCCCTTTCCTTTCTTTCTATCCCACCCCCTACAGAAAGTGGCACCAGATCTATCAATTTTTATGAAGCTATATGTATGTGTGAGTGTGTGTACCCTGTACATATATTTATATGTGTGTATATATACATCTCTCCATATATATGCACTTCAGTACTAATAGCTGAATAATTTTACCCACTTTTTGTGTCTTACTGCTAGAGCATTTCCTAAGAAAACTAATGACTGCTTACCTGGAGCTAGACTAGGCTATTAGGCAGGCACATAACTGCATTGCCCCAGGAAGTATACAAGGAAGGAATTGGACCTGAGAGCAGCATAGTTTGTCTTGCCTCTCCCTCCTTGTTTGTGAAACAAAAAGGTAATTTGCACTTCTCCTTTTTCGTGGTGCAGGTTGATTTTCCTATGCAGTCAGCCAGCATCGCAAGAGAAGGAGCCAAACAGCTCTCACCTCTCTCCATCTCCCTTGTCCCTGCAGACCCCTTCTCTCTGAGCCTGGACTGTCCTGTGACACTCCAGGGGACATCCCCTGAGGATGCCTGTGTGCCTGGCTGTGCCGGAGAAGGGACAAACTGATAAATAGTCTCTGTGCGTGGAGACAGGCATAAGGTTAAATGCTGCATGTCTCCTTTCATGAAATGTTTGCCTGTCTGTCTTTGCTCAAATTCTCCCTAAGAGGGCCAGCTCTCAGTCCCTCACCCCCTCTGCGGGGTTGGTGGGGGACTGTGTGCCCCCTGCCCTGTGCCACTCGGCCACCCCTCTGTGGGACTGGGGCACAGCGGTGGGTGAAAGGCGTTTGTGCAGGACCTCATGCCCGTGAGTTGTGTGTCAGTGCTTTCCACAAGGGTTATGCCACAAGCTGGGGTTTGTGCTGGTTTTGGTGGACACCACCACCTGATTTTGGCAGTGAGCAAGGCACGTAGGCAAGGGGGCCTTGTGTAGGGTGAGGTTTTGCTAGAAATGAAGGGAGCACCTCAAAGCACGTTCTCAGGAGGGGGCTGTGCCTCTAGTTTACATCCTTGGTTTGATATAGCCTTCAAAGGACCCTCTTCGGTGGGGCTGGCCAGTTTCTGAGTGGCTGGAGCAGGTGAAGTGAGAAGAAGCTGGTCAAAAGAGGAGTGATTATATCTTAATGCTACATAAATCTGCTTCTCCTGCAGGGGTATTTATAATATGATTAAATTCCTCCCCGTCCCCTTCCAGCTCCACACTGGGACCTGGAACTTGCAAATACATAGGTCTTTGCAAGAACTTTAGGTTCAAGGGGTGCAGCTGCCTTCTGCTCGGTGACAGGATAGGATGGAGGAGGAAAGACCAGAGAAGCTAAACTATTTCAAGGAACAAGTTCAGTGTTATTGGCTCAGCCAGATCAAAAAAGAGCTGCTGCTGCAGTAATCACTGAAGTACCTAGAGGCTACAGTCAGGATTGGAAGGATGCGGCTTTGATGTTTTCCTAAAATAAACACAAACATTTTTTACTCTTTTAAGCTGAGTCAACAAAAGAGCAGCTAACTGCTCCGTTAGCCAAAAGGCCCCAAGCACTACTTTGGTCACTTTTTCTTCTGCCTTGGCTTAAATCGCAGTTTAAACATTATCTTGATTTGTTCTCTTAGTGATCCGCTGGAAATTAGAGGGCAGAAGAGAGAAGGAAAAGAGGCCCCATGGCTTTAAAAATAAGCCTTTGGTATCTGTTGACTCCTCTTCAACCCTCTCCGGGTTGCACCCCCAAGACTTGCATTTGCAGTTGCTCACACGGAAATGAGCAGCAGCCCTGCCTGGCAGGAGGCTGGTCAGAGGGGACCGCTGTGTCCCTAGACATCACCCCATCAGCCTCAGGACAGCCACGCTTGTCTGAGCTCGTCATGTTGGTGACCCCTCAGCTATCCTGGCCACGTCCTGCTGGCTTTCAGGGTTCAAGTGAGACGTTTCAATCCAGCAGCCAACTGTCATCAATAATAACTGTATTTACCATGGTCAAAATAGAATTGTTTTCTTCAAAGCAGCACTGTCTATGTGTTTCTCTTCCCGTGACTACGAACACAATTATCTTCTACTGTGCTCCACATCTGTACAGTGGCACAGCTGTTGACACCCCTGCAAGCTGGGTGAATTATTGGCCCTGTGTGCCACTTGCCTGTCCCATTCAGCAGAAATCTATAACCTAACCCTTTCCCTAATGGCATTAAAAGGTGCAATTAATCAATAAAAGGGATCAGTTAATATTCTCCACACGTAAGTGCCAAACATCAGAATAATATGCTCTCTTGTGGCTGGCATCTCGTCCTTTCGTGATTTAGCTAAAAAGGAAATTGGCAGGACAACCACAGTGTACACCATGGGATTGCTCTGCAGATCTGGGGCAGTTGTTATATCTGCTGCAGAGAAATATTTTCTCTGCTGAAAGATTTTTCTTTAGAATATATAGGAAAGTTAGTAGGGAGCAAAATTTTACTTTCAGTGGTTTGGGAAACTTTCTTGCCTTATTTCAAAGACTTAAGTGGCACGGGGGAATCCCCTAGCAGCCACAGGCCCTGGGAATTAAATTTTCTCCATCTGTTCCCTATTCCTTAAGCAACATAGCACGAATCCTACTACCATCTATTTCTCTAAGCAGCCTCCTGGGGAAGGAGGGAGACTTGTTTAGTGCCTGTCCGCATTTGGAAAACCAGCCACTGAGAGAAATGTTGGCTTGATATTCATTATCATCCTCGAGCTCTCTGCACTGTATACAGGAAAAGGTAACATTTCCATTGCAGGAGGCAATATATGTGGGAAACCAAATCAATTAATTTGCTATACAGTTGTCAAAACAGTCCTTCTCTTAATAAAGGGCTGACCTGGGTTCCACAAGTTTGTGGCTCTTGCGTATCTGCAGACCATCTAGAATAGTTTACCAGCAGGTGCAGTCTTATTAGCAATGCCTTCTTTTCTCAAGCCATTTTAATGCTGTTCATAAAGCAGTACTATCTATCTTCATATTTCTCAATCTCAATTCTGAGTTGTTGTTGACTTTTCTAACTGAAATTGTCTTGAATTTTTTTCCTCAGCTGTTTTTTGAATGGGGAATGTTTTTATTTTCCAGAAGATGTCATTATAAAGTGAGCTTCTCTGATCTTTCAACTTTCTGGTAAGTAATTAAACCAGGCTTTTCCGTTTTCTGTATGTTTTCTGTATGAAGCTGCCATGAACTTAAAGCAGGTTTTCATTCCAGGTGGTTTTGTCTATGTTTAAGTGCTAATATTTCATTTAATTTCACTTCACAAGCAACCATTTCTTTTCTGGAGCAGGGGCGTTTCTGTTACACTGAGCTTCAACAGAGCTGGCCTTGCTTTGGCCTGATTGTGGGTCATTTTGTATCTGACCGAGACCATTTATTACAGTGGTGGGTTAATTTTAAGATTTGGTACTTGTTTAGAAAAAGCTTTGCAGGACACGGCTTCATCCTATGTTCCTTGTGCACTAGACTGCTCTTTTTCATTCACCTTTGAAATGCCTATAATATGGTCCATGTGTGTAGACTATGTTTTATGGATCAAGTGAATTGGCAAATTAAGCTGCCTGGCTATGGAATTCAATTCCTTGAAGTGCAGCGCTGGGTCTTTTGTTCCAGTGCAGAAAGGGGAAATTTATAACAGACGTCAGTAGATTTGAGATATTGCAGGACAGTTACTTTTTATCAGTGGTGCCTTAATAATGAAGAGTTTCAAAAAGAGCACTGTTGCAGAACTTCACAGTCATTGTCTGGACACAGGCTGACCTAACATTTGGTTAACGGTTTTGTTGTGGTTTTTTTTTTTAGGGACATGGCTGAACAGTGAAAAATGAACTTCAGGAACTTCATGAACAACGTGAACAACCAGAACAACTTGAGAATATGAAGCTGTTGTGTACAAAAGCTTTAAAAGGGCTCTGCCTGTGAATGTTTAAATTTTTAAATATTGTTATTTATTCTAATTTTGATCAAGAAAGGGATTTACACATGGTGCAAATTGGTTATTAACAATTTGCACCTGCAGCTGTCTGTACATCAATATAAAAAAAAGATTTCCTTATAATTTTATTCCAGTTAATTTTAATTTTAAAGTTGTAGTCAAACATTGCAGTATTCTAAACAATGAAAAATAAGCATGTTTGTTTTCAGCTAAATCCTGCACTAAAAGATAACTTAAATGCCAGTGACTCTAATTATACATCATCTTTGCTTATGGATTAGTTAGCAGACGTATGACTGGGGATCCTGTAGACAATTTTCTGCAGGAGGGGAATTAAAATCAGAGAATGGGAAAATAACTCTGTTTTCCATCTGTTACTTCTCGTAGTGACAATCTAGCAACCTTTTCTTGAGTGAAAAGCAACAAATGCATCATCATCATCATCATCAGTAGAAAAATTATAGTGTCTTTGATGTCTAAGAGTTGAAGAGCCCATGGTGCAAAACACTATACAAATGCAGCACCTGTGTAAGTGTAGCTCTAAGAAGGAGCATCCTAACCTGCTCCAAGCAGGTTGATATGGACCCCAGCAATGATAAAATGGCTATGCTCTCATCAGCTCATCTCTCCTTTTCTGACAGGGTAAGGCGAACATTGCTGTCACCCTGAGAGGATCCATCATGACCCAGAGGTGTGGCCCAGGGGACCAGTTTTATAGTGCTTGAGGGGCTACACTGGACCTCACACCGGTCTCAGTCGTACGGGCCCTCAGGTCATCAGCAAAATATTTTCTTTCCTCATGGTAGTAGCCAGTTGCCCAATTGTCTGGCCTCTTTCCCTCAAAATTTCCAGTGAGTTTGTAAAAGAAGAAGATAGCAATATAAAATTACTTGGAGAGGTTGTTCTAGTAATAGTTTGTAATACATTTTAATGATTCTTTTTATTTACTCAATAACGTTTCAGGTAAAATCTTATTCCAGACACACACAGTTCTGCTATTAATCCTGTGGCTGTGTTACAGCAGCTTCTCATAACAAGATATTATTTTATGAGGGTAGCTTCATAAGAGAAGTTTCTTTTTCATTTGCAGATTGTTAAATTATAGCAATCTCTGGATCTGACGGCTAAGAGATGGAAGCCTTTTATTTGGATACAGTTTTAGATAAGTACTTTATTTATGAAAGTAAGCATTTCTGCTTATAATGTATCAGGGAATAATCTGCATAATCCCCAGCTTCTTGCAGAAATCGAAACATGATTCATTTCTTTTTCACAGGTTTTGATGGTGTAAGAACACGAGAAAGTTGCTTCTGAGGCCAGAGACAATCTTGACCTCTTCTCAAATGCTTCTCCTTTGCTCGGAGAGGCTGATCCGCAGGGACCTGTGCCAAAGGAAGGTTCTCAGGGTCTAGGGCCTGAGATGCTGAATATGGCACTTTTTCAAGGTAGAAAATGAACACAGAAGGAGGATATTTTTATAAGTGAAAATACTTGCCTGATTCTCCTGTCACTGCACAATGACATGTATTTATGTATACTATTTAAAGCTGAGTTAAATGCATAAATGTGTGTAGTCTGTGACACTCAGCTCAACAGATATTAAAAGATCCCAGCCTATGGTAATCATTTAACTTGCTTTTTAAGACATTTGCAACTGCTTCACATTTTCTATGCCTTTTTAGTGTGTGAGATGAAAGCTGGATTGCGGTGATGGCTCAGAGAGCTACCCTTTCCCTTCCCTTCCTGCTATTTTTGAAGAAAGGAGGAGTGGTTATTTTTATTATTATTTTATACCAACACCAAGTTGAAAACATTTGTAGTTATTTAAGCGCTTAAGGAGGATCTGCTTTTTACCTCAGGGTAAGGCAGTAAACTCTTCCATGTGTTGACTGCATCAGTTATCCCTACAAGCTTTTCACATGCCTGAGGGGTATTTAGTCAGACAGGCCCTCTCCATTCTAGAGAAATCTCCAGCAAAGGTCAGCCAAACCAGCAGAACTTACTCCAGAACAACGTGATGGATGTGTATGTGTGAATGGGAGGTCGGTGACATGGTGCCAAGGAAAGAAGGTGAGGCTACCCCTTTCCTTTTCAGCTTCTGCATGAAAATAATAACCCTGATTTCAGAAGAGAAGAGCTGGGATTTCCTTGCTCTGCCATTGGCGCTCCAAGCAGCAGTGAGAAGGAGGTCCTTCCCCAAACTTGATTTGAGGTTTTCATTCTCCAGTTCTTTTAAAGTATCATCTTTGCTAATTTGTAAGGAAACTCTGAGCAAGATCATGCAGTGGGGGACAATGTGTCTGGTGATTTCACTCAAATGCTATGGTGCAGAAGGAGGGTTTGCCATCCAGCAGGGGTCTGCAGCCTGAGGAGCTCTCAGGGCTGCATCTGTGTTTTGCTCCTTTCTTGAGATTCATCTCTTCTTCCCTGAACCAGTCATCAAACTCAGCTCAGTGGGCACGAGCAGTACCCTCCCCAACTGCATCCAATATGCACAGTCATGAAGTGGGGAGCAGGCTGAAAAGGTGGATATATGAGCTTATTTTCACGGGGAACAGGGAATCTGACATGGGGAAAAAATTGTGCAAATCACACTGAGCAAATGAGACCTGCCTCTCCCTATGGCCTCTGAGTCCTAGGAAAGCTCTCCCTAACCACAAAGCTCAATATTCAAATGTCAGTCCTTCCCTTACAACTAATTCCCCTTTAAAAGGGTTATATATGTGAATAGCCTCACTGGGATCAAAGGAGTGATTTACCTGCATGCAGGGTTGTGCATAGACATTTGCAGGATTGGGCCCTCTGGGCACACAGCAGGTTTCCTTGCCCTGCGTGTTGCTAAGTCACAATCTGATGTGAATTAAGGAAAGTGAAGAGAAGCATATGGTTACGTGGCGAGAGGGCTGCAGAATGGTTTAAAGTGTTAAAGGTTTAAATCACCCCAAGGCTATAAAAATCAACTTTGTTTATGGAGCAGTACAGAGACCTATTGTACTTAGTATCGATCAATCCATTGAACACCTGATTCAAAATGTTCAATTGAAAGCTGGGGAAAAGTGCTAAATTGAACAATCTAAGTAACCTGTGAACCTGACAGTCATAAATCAATGGCGATGTTACACATAGTTAACCCTAACCAGTTAGCAAGTTGTCCCAATTATTAGTTGGGTTACCTGGTTAGGAGTTAGTTTACCCTTTCAGAAATTGTATTAATATAGAAAACCTCTCTGGGCTGAAAGTTCCTCTGTGAGCAGAGTACCAGGCTCTCTAAAGCCTTTCTCCTCTGCTTCTGTGCCAGGTGAACCTTGCTTGAATATCAGTATGGGAGAAGGATATTTGAAATTAAGAATCAGGGTTACAAAAAGACACTCTTGTCAGCTTTAGGGGGCTTTAAAAGTGTTGCTACAAAATATGTAGGATCCACTTTTCAAGGGTGCTTTATTCTGCAGGAGGGTTATTCACGTCTGTACAGGCTCTTCCAAATGCTGAGTCTTTCTGATGCCTGTTCCGTTGCTTTTGTCCACAATCTCTTTGCAGACTTGGAAGGACCATAGTTTTCTGGCCCATCTTGCCTTATACATGCCTGGCCACGTTTGCCTTTCTTTATTTTGTAAGGAGACTGAAAACTCTTGAGCTTTTCTGGAAGACTCGCAAGAACTTCTTGTTTCCTTTAAACCATTTTCCTTGGCGTTAATTGCGTTACACACCTCTAGTTCTTTCCTAAATTAGTCCTCTCTCAGCTTTTACATTATTTCATCCTTTCAACTCAGGCTGAAAGGGCTGTAATTGCCTGGGTTACACATATAACTTAAAAAAAATATTGATGGGTGGTATTGGGCCCTCTGGGCACACAGCAGGTTTCCTTGCCCTGCGTGTTGCTAAGTCACAATCTGATGTGAATTAAGGAAAGTGAAGAGAAGCATATGGTTACGTGGCGAGAGGGCTGCAGAATGGTTTAAAGTGTTAAAGGTTTAAATCACCCCAAGGCTATAAAAATCAACTTTGTTTATGGAGCAGTACAGAGACCTATTGTACTTAGTATCGATCAATCCATTGAACACCTGATTCAAAATGTTCAATTGAAAGCTGGGGAAAAGTGCTAAATTGAACAATCTAAGTAACCTGTGAACCTGACAGTCATAAATCAATGGCGATGTTACACATAGTTAACCCTAACCAGTTAGCAAGTTGTCCCAATTATTAGTTGGGTTACCTGGTTAGGAGTTAGTTTACCCTTTCAGAAATTGTATTAATATAGAAAACCTCTCTGGGCTGAAAGTTCCTCTGTGAGCAGAGTACCAGGCTCTCTAAAGCCTTTCTCCTCTGCTTCTGTGCCAGGTGAACCTTGCTTGAATATCAGTATGGGAGAAGGATATTTGAAATTAAGAATCAGGGTTACAAAAAGACACTCTTGTCAGCTTTAGGGGGCTTTAAAAGTGTTGCTACAAAATATGTAGGATCCACTTTTCAAGGGTGCTTTATTCTGCAGGAGGGTTATTCACGTCTGTACAGGCTCTTCCAAATGCTGAGTCTTTCTGATGCCTGTTCCGTTGCTTTTGTCCACAATCTCTTTGCAGACTTGGAAGGACCATAGTTTTCTGGCCCATCTTGCCTTATACATGCCTGGCCACGTTTGCCTTTCTTTATTTTGTAAGGAGACTGAAAACTCTTGAGCTTTTCTGGAAGACTCGCAAGAACTTCTTGTTTCCTTTAAACCATTTTCCTTGGCGTTAATTGCGTTACACACCTCTAGTTCTTTCCTAAATTAGTCCTCTCTCAGCTTTTACATTATTTCATCCTTTCAACTCAGGCTGAAAGGGCTGTAATTGCCTGGGTTACACATATAACTTAAAAAAAATATTGATGGGTGGTATGGTTTTTTGGGGTTTGTTTTGTTTTGTTTTGTTTGTTTGGGGTTTTTTTGGTTTTGGGCGGTTTTTTTGCTGCCCATTGGAACTTCTCCAATGTTCTCAGACATACCAAAAAGGAATGTTCATGGTTTTGAAATTTCTTTAGCCAGCTTTTTTAAAGCTCTTGGTTGCAAATTATGCAGGCCTGTTGATTTAATTTGTTATTTAACATTCTCCTGATTTACTGTTGGAATGAAAAACATTGCATTGTCTTCTTATGACAGAACTGATTTTGTCTGATATTTCTTCAAACAGAGATCAGATTTATTTACAGAACATACAGATTTTTGCATATATTACTGACATGGCTACACTTCTGTGTAGTCAAGACCAAAAATCTTGTTATCCTTAACTCTGATGAAAAGCTTACCTCTTGCTTCCATCCATATAAATTTTCTGTGGTTCTTCTGTCTAATAATCATGACTTCTAATAAATG